ACACATACACACACCACCTTATTTTCCAGGCACCATCTTACAATCCTGGCAGCCCATTCAAGATTCCTCCCCTGTTGATTATAGGGAAGGGACATTTGCAGGTGATACTGCTAGTGTTGGATTGTGATCTCAGAATATATCCCTTCTACACTCTATTGGTCCTGAGTCTCCACTGCGTGCACCTTGAGTCAAGTACACCTGTGCAAAATGGGTGTAAAATCTTACCAGATCAGAATGGTCGTGTTTCACATCCACTTTGCACAGCTGTAAATGGCTACAAAAAGTGTAAGTCAATGAAGAATTACACTCATTGAGTTCAGTGGCATTACTTCTGATTTACACCAGTGTAAGAGAGCAGAATCAGGCTCCCAGCTTCTTTATAGGTCGGGTGTAATGACTACAAGCCTGATTTTCAGAAATGCTGAGCTCCTACTGACATCAACTGGATTTGAAGGAGCTCAGAAATTCTGAATATCAATTTTGAATTAAGCAGAGAACACAGAAAATTGTTACCATATCATCTCACAAGCATAAAAGTTCACTTCAAACATAAAAGATTAAAGTGGATTCTTTCTCGCTATTTTATTTTATTTTTTTAAGACAAACAACTCCAAATAACTTGATGCCTTGCTGGGATAGGTGTAGCAACTTTTTCAGTGTCCACCAAACATATGATCTTTCAAGGGGATTTTGGAGGTCTATAGATGAAGTTAAGATAGACAAATTTTGCACAATGGTTGTGGACTGCTTTGTGTTCGAAAAGCAGCCTGGCTGGAAGTTTGAACAGAGCTATTCTGCTGAAATTTTAAAAATTGGTGCCAGATCTATTTTTGCTTCTCTGTCCATCTTAGCATAGATAGAAACTATGAGCACATTTATAACTAAATGTAGACTAGGATAACATATCTTTAATATGCACACACTCATTACTCTCCCATCAAGGAATTAACCCACTTTCTCAGTCCAAATGCTTCTCATCAAATTAGAAGCGAGGACCTTGGCTGAAATGGGCTTCTGGGTCAAGCCCAATGTTCTGACATCATCTCCCTCTCTTTGGTAGCTGAATACATTTCACTCTGTAGAAATGTTTTCTAATCTAATTTCACTTTTTTTAAAAATTTCTGTAGGGTAAAATGTATTCAAATACCAAAAAGAGGAAGATAATGTAAAAACACTGGACTTGATCTAAAGCCCATTGCAGCCAATGGGAATCTTTTAGATAGGAGAGACAAATTACTCCTCCATTTCCCACTCACGTGCAAAGTCCCATAGTTCTGAATCTCATTATCAATCTGTTGTGCTTTCCAGTCTCCATATTTTGTTCTTTCAATATTTGTATGTATAAGCAATCATCAAATACACCAGTACTTTGGTTTTTAGCTTCTGCACCATATATCCCTGCCCTGCCCTGCCTGGAAGATCTGCTCTTGTAAGGAGATACAGTATCAACATTTTACAAAAATCCTACGCTGACGGGCAGTATATTTTGAGGCTTATCAACCTTAAAACAGCGGGGAAAGTAAAAATAAAATATTTTATCTGAATGAGGTGAGCATGAAGGAAGGACTGAAGGAATGTGATATTTTACAGAGAATTTCAGTGCTGCTGTACAGAGGGTTTGCTCCAGTGCTCATCTACACAGTATGTTTAAAGCTGTATTTATAATCCCTCATATTGCCCCAATACATCAAACTAGCACAAAATGCCATGGTATGAACAAGTATAGATGGATTTTTACTATTATGGGTGGTCAATCACAAAGAAAAAATGATGTAAATATCCTCTGATTAAAGCACAGTTTAATCTAATTTTTACTTGTAAAGTAATGCAGTATAGTTCCTGACATTTTGCATAAATATGTATATTAACATTTGAAATGTATAATTTATTGTATTATTAAATATGTGTCAGTGCACCCAGGGACTTGGATAAGCATCTTTTTAAATTATTATTTAAATCTATTTCTTTTTAATGTGGTTGAATTAGGACGAATGTTGTTTATTGTACAGGAAGAGGAAGACAAGGAAGAAACTGTTCTCATTTTAAGTGCGGAGGAATAATATGAATAATATCAGGTATGTACATATATATGTATCCCAAAGTTATTTTAAAAAATCCTTAAGAATATGACAGGACATACGTACTTAATCCCATAGCAGTTGTTTGATGGTGTCATGTGACTTGTAAGTAATTAGCTGCCATATTGAAAAAAGGATCCTTTTATTTACATTTACATTTATTCCCCACTAAGATTACTTTGAAAGCATGGCAAACTGCTGCAAGAACAGTGTGTGATAATTCTGTATCTATTTCCTACAAATCTCCCTTCCTGAAGACTAGCACTCTGTTTTATCATCAGAAAGCAATAGCAAACTTAATGTTAATGGGATGGAATTACTTACTGTCACATTATAATTTAATTTATGATTTTGACTCATGAACAAGGCTGTGTCAGGTGGGAAACAAAGTCATTGTTCTACATACAGTGTATTTTACTATTATATCATTCCTTAGGGCGGTAATGTTAATCTCACTTTAAAAAAATATATACTAAACCCAAGCCCACAAATATTTATCATGTTGTTGTTACATAAAACAGTTCTGCCAGTATGCTGAAACCTCTCTGAAGCTCAAACTACCCTAGAAGACCTTATTAAAACATAAAACCCCCTCACATTATGAGAATGCATCTTATAGAAAGGGGACACTAGATATACAGGGCAATTTTTTTCTTTACTCTTCAGAAACATACTTGTCTATTCCATCATCCATCAATCATCCTTTAAGTGATTTTATTCCAATGGACAGGCAATGATAAAAAGCATCCTGGGAGGCTGTGGGAAAATCTAATTAAAAGACCCAAACAAATTGTACAGGACTTTGAGTATATTTTAGTCATTTATTAAATAATGGTATAGGTAAATCACTAACATTCATCATGACTCCAGGGAAAAGCTCTTGGCCACAGCATCTTATTAGTGCTAAGAATCCAAGGAACTTGGCCTATAAAATAAAATCAATATTGTAACCTTAACTGTAAGAGTCAGAAAGACACTGGAAGATTTCTAATTTAACAAGATTACAGATGAGTTTTGAGATAAGACAATTTGGGGGAAAGCTATTCATTTAAAAATATTCATGCCAAGACGTCTCAAGGTTTTTACTCTTAATATTATTATAATCCATATTTGTAGCAGTTTAGGATTATTTAACCGATGTGGTACATTAGAGGATTTATGGGAAAATCTGAGAAGTGGTTTGAAATGCCAATGAAATAAAATCATTAGACTTAGGTTGAACAAAATTACAATTTGACAGCATGATGGTTAGCATGATGGTTAGAAAACGGCGACAAATGTAAGGAGATTGTTGGCCCCTTACTGAAAGTTAGTGGGGGATTTTGGTTGGCCTTCTCCCAGTACCAAAAGAAACGGGAAGGGCGGATTAGAAATCAAGATCCTGAGACTGACAGTCCCCAGGGTTAATGGGGAGGGGCCAACGATCTAGGGCAGCCCTATTGACAGGGCAAGCCTGGGGTCCCGTCCTCTGCTGGAGCTGTTTGAGCCAGAGCAGGTTGACCTAAAGAGAGAGCAGCAGCCTGAGCTGAACTGGAGATAGAGCAGCAGCAGCCCGAGGGAGCCTGGAGCTGGGGGCTGGAGCAGTGTGGAGCCAAGTGTGGTGAGCAGATGGGAAGAGTGGGGGGACCCTGGACAGCGAGGGCCCAGCGCAGGGAGATGCCCCCAGACAAGAGGTCTTGCAGGCCGGACTTGGCGCGGGATTGTAACCCCAATGTGAGGGCCAACACTGGGAAGAAAGGTCCTGCTATCGCCAGAGCAAGTATGTGACCCCTAGTATCACTGCAGCACAGCCAGGGTCTGGGAAGGAGGCAGACTGTTAACTTTCCTTTCATTCCAGAGACAGCTGGTTGTAGTGTCCCCACGTCCACACAGTGGGGTTACTTGTTCCTATAACTTTTCCCATTTTTCCTTATTTTTAATTAGTTGTGGTTTAATCAATTGTATTTGCTTTGAACTGTATGTAATGATCAGTGGGTCAGGGAAATGGCCAGTGCGGAGAGAGCACCCCTGAGTGGGGACAGGCTAGCCCCTGCCTAAGTGACCACAACAAGACCGTGGATTGAGCCTCGCAGGGATCCTGGGCCCAACCTTGTCAGGGTTACGAGGACTCTGCCACACTGGAGAGTGGAAGGGGAGTCCTCGAGGTCAGGCAGTCCGCCAGGTGAAGAGAGTTGGAGCGAGGACTCAGATCCTTTCGCTAGCCAATTCCACCAAGGTAGTGTATAACTCAGGAACATTCCCCACAATCACAGGGTCATTTCCTCACTTACACAAAGAATGAAAGTCATCTGTTCTGTGGAGTAAGCTAAGTGCAAACAATTATAACTCAGATTCAGTTACTAAATGTAAAAAAAAGTAGCCAAGTCTAGGCATAAAATATATTTGGACTGAGCCTATAGTTCCCCCTCCCACAGGTGTACCATTAATGAAGTAAGAAGAACATGCTATTCAGAAAAATATGAGACTTTCCGGGGCGGGGAAGGGGGAGGGCTGAATGCCAATTCTTAGAGAAGCTGAAGGCATTCCACATCTCATAGGATCAGGGAGTTGTACCATTGACTTCAGTGGGACTAGACTTTCACCCTTAGCTGGTGAAACCCATTTGCATCTGCTGAAGATCTGACACTATGTTCTTATACTATTCATTATATTTTAATTTGTAACTGTCTTTTCAAAGTAACAAGTCTTTGAGAATTGCTTAACCTGTTCTGCTGAGCCCAACTATCAAAACTCAAAAGGTAAGAAGCACTTTTCACCCTAATTAAACTATTGCTGAACCTACTTCTAGCATCTGCAATTATGTTTACAAGAGACATTCCTTATAAAACGTACACTAAGGAAGTCCAAAGCAAATCAAATCCCAACTTACTTTAATACTGGATTAAATGCCATACAAGGAATGTTGATATTGAAAAATTAGGCATATTGCTTGAATATTAAACATTATCTATTTCTGCCTCTTAAGCCCATAGGGAAGTAGGTCAGAAACTGGTTGATAGTTTCTCGCACAAAACTTTTATGCCAGTGCTATTATCACTATGATGTCAGTTTTCAGCATGATGGCTGCCAACAGACTCAGAAAGGTCAACTGCAATTAAGAACTTTGATTTAAAATACATTTCAGAGCTTATTCATGATGAAAAGGACTTGTTACCTTAAGACTGTTGAGGTTAAAGAAATGAATAGTGTTCTTTCAGTGTCAGTGTCTGACTTTGTTGCACATAATATACTTAAAAGTAACACAGAAAATCAAGATCTATGCATAAGAAATACATACATTTATTAAAGAGCACTTTGAGCTATTAAAAAGGAAATACAAAATTGGATCTAAACAAAATTCACTAGCAGGATATATATCAACATAAAAACATTCCTTGACATACAAAGATTTTAGGAATTTAGACTGAACTGAAAACACAGAAACATTTAACAGATATTCATCAAGGTTAACCTTATAAGATGAATGCATCTGTCAGATGGAGACTATGTATTTCTAAGGTATATGCTTTATCCTTCTGTAGGTGCACCAGGAGTTGGAAGTATTCTTGAACTCTGTCCAATATAGGCCACCAAGCAACCTAGGTGATCTGTTATAGTTCTCAATTCCTGGACAGCATTAATTACTTCCTCTTTCAATTCCCTCACTTCAGAAATTAAAATGTCAGTTTTAGATAGTCCATGAGAAGAGGGCCCAAGAAGGAAAGTGCCATCAGGAAGGGGCCCAATAGGGAAGGAGTGTCCAGTGGATGGGGAAAAAGCAAGAGGGGACAAGTGTCCAGAAGAGAGATATCCAACAAAGGGGGCTTGGGCCTGAGAAGAGGAGCATCCAATAACTGCTGGGCGGTCAACCGGTGAAGAGAGTCCAGCTGTTTCTGTTTTAATGGTATGTTGGCATCTTGATTCTTGACTGTTGGTGGATGTGGGTGAAGTGTGAGAGAGAGAACATGATGAAGAAACTGTAAAATTAAAATTTATTTCATTGTACATTGACTTTCAGTATTTTTGAACATCTGACTTCTGCAGAATTCCACATAAATCTCTAATTGTATTGCTTAGTTATGATATGTATCATTTATAAATGTAGGTTATATATATTTACTTTAAACAATGTTGTAATACTATGATAAAAATAGATTTAAAGTATGACTTTAATTGATTTTTTTGCTATTATATTAATATACTTTACTTCCAAAATTTAGTCATACATGTATATATAATGTACTCTTCTTACATTATTCCTGTCTGATCTCATTAAAAAAAAAATACTCAGTTACTTACCAGACAATGAATCAAGGGTTTCTCCACCAGTTCTTTGTTTATCTTTAAAAAAAAATGAACTGGGGTCTTCTTAAGCCATGCCACTTCCCCTGTATAGCGACGGGTGACAGCCTGTCTGTCACGTTTTTAAAAATTCTCTTTTCCAAATGTAAGGGGAGTTTTCCACATAAAATTTTATTTGTTAAGAATTTCACAAAAATTTGCTATTGCATTTATGCATCAATTTCACTGAAATTTTATTCCTGCATCACAGAAAATCGGAGTTTTGTCTTAACACAGACAGATATTCAGTGTTCATCAAGGTTAGCCCGACAGAAAATGAATAATTGTTCGATTTTATAGTGTGCAGCCATGTTATTTTAAAACAAATATACATTTCTGAGGTAGGCTTGATTCAAAGTCCACTAAAGTCAATGAGAGACAATCAATTGACGAATAGTAATTTGCAAAAGTTCATATCTAATATGGACTTGGTATTTCACATTCCTTAAAGGTTATATTTCAAATGGTAATATGAAAAATAGTTAGGTCTTGTAAAGGAGTCTTAATCCATATATCTCTAAGATTTCATACAGGAAAGTGAGTATAATTATTATAATCTTATAGATGGGGAAACTGAGGTACAGAACACTTATGTGACTTTCCCAAGGTCACACAACAGAAATAGAACCCTGAGTTCCTTAATTTCAATACAGGGTCTGATACATTGGACTATGTTACTTCTTAATGGATAACAACTTATGCTTCTTATGACTGATGACCTCATATTAGAAAAGATCTTTGCAGTCACAACTGCATCCCAATTATTTTGGAAAATCTACTGTAGCATTTCAAAGTGTTGTATTTGTTTTGGTAAGATCACATGAAGAGTACTGTACCTCATATTTTGTATGTCAAAGCAAATGTAATACTAATTATATGATCTTTCTACAATAGTTAACTGTACAGTATGTATTTTTCAAAAGAAGACAAAGCTGTCGGGTCCATAAAAATAATTAAGAAATCATTTCCTTTTTTAAAGGAAATTTTTCAGAATCTGTTCCCCATACTCCTGTGGTAGTACATATTTCTCTAGCATTCCCAAACATTCCTAAGACAACTGAAGTAAACCACCAAGACAGCACAATGATTGCACAATGAGAAATAATGATAGGCTCGATCTCTTTCATAAATGTTTATAATCTGGCTTCATCAAATATAAAAAGGAAACTAATTTTGAAATCTAACTTTGGTTAAAGAAAATGACTACATTTTTGCACAACAAATCCACAGTCTCTATTTACATTTTGGAGCAATTGTCTGATGGCAAGGAAAGAGCTATGTTTAGAACAATGGCATGTACAATAATGCATTCAATGTAAAAAATTAAATATGAAATGACTGGCTATTGTTTTGAACAACCCAGAGCCTCTTCGATTTGATTTTTTGTTTGTTTGTTTTGGTTTAGCTTACTTATTTCTGTTCTTCCTTATATTTCCCTACATTTCACTCTTTTGGAATACTCTTGAAAATACAAACATCTTTAATATCATATCAAAGTCTCTTCAGGAATAGTGTGAGGAAAGGAGTTGATAATAGTAGTTTGCTTATACAGAAAGCTCTGTAACTGTAAAAGCAGAAGCTTTGGTGTTTTACTGATAACAAGTGCAGTGTGGGATGATGAGTTTGGTAGTAGTTTGATGAAATTTTACTTTTTTACTTTTTTCCCCCTCACAGTTTCACAGCCAGTACACATCCTAACCAAGCTGTAAATCCTCGTATTCCTCTCCCATTTCATGATGCATGCTTACACATTACAGAACTTGTGCAAAGAGTGAGGATTATAATGGAGTCATTTGCATTGTGGCCTTTGTCCATGTCCAACTGCCTCATAGTATGCATCTTGCATGGAGAATTAGAAAAAGTCATCCAAACTTCTGCACACCAAACATGACTGACAACTCACTAAGTGTTAACACACTATGTATTTATATGGTACGCACTTCAAAGGGAGTTGGGCACCTCACTCCCCTTAACACTTTGAATAAAATACTTAAGCTAGGAACTCCAAACTTGGTTCAGCACTACGGTTTTGTCACCACTGCCACCTCCAAACCCTTAGTGTTATCACCTTGTGGCTGCTCCGCAAACAGTAACACAGCAAGATAGAAATATTTTATGTTAAAGAGATCTACCACCTCAGTTTCTGGAATCCACTATTGTCTTGGAGGAGGGCTTAAAGAAGATCACTGCTGGCTTAACTTCTTTCCACAGGAAGCTTCAAACACTGAAAATGTCTCATAACTAAGTACACAGAAAACTGGGTCCATTTCAGGACACAAGTTACAGAATTGAGTCCATGAAGTTCGAAATAGAGCAGGTGAAACCCCCTTTAAAGTGAAGTCAATAATGCTGTGATCTAAATTTTACCTCTGATTGTTTCGACTTTTGATCTTGTAGAAAAAATTAAAATTACATTAAAATGAAAGAAAGGCTACTTACCAGCATATGTAGTACCTCTGCATATTCACACTTGTAGGATGTGGACACTTCATAAATGAAGGATGATTCACATTTCTGGTGCTGATGAGCTTCAGGAACCTTCTAGAAAAGCAGTGCTTGTTGGGACTGTCTGAGCATTCCCTAATGACACTGGATGTTCAAAGCTGTTTAAAAAGCACCATGTGATTCTCCAACTTCCTCATTTTTTTCCACTAAACCCCAGAATTTTATGAGAATAGAATTCCATGGAAGACAGGAAAGGATTCCTTCTTCCTTTATAATGGCACTGAGTCCCTTGGCACAGAACCCTCACTGAGCTCTGACTCTTCTTTCCTCTGCCTTTGAGCATAAAGGTGAGTAGAATCACCACAAATGCCAGACCCTGGACCTCCAGGCTTGGTACTGATAGGTGAGAGGCTTGGAATGAGGACCTCAGGAGTACTAAGCAATCTGCCCTGGCCACAAACGCCAGTTCCTGGTGGGAGCAGTTACCATCAGAGGTGGTAGCACTCACCAACTTACGTTATGTCTACACAGCAAAGAAAAACCCTGCAGCTGGCCAGTGATAGCCGACTCGGGCTCGTGGGGCTCGGGCTGTGGGGCTGTTTCGTTGCTGTGTAGACTGCCAGGCTCGGGCTGCAGTGGGACAGTTTCACCCTGCAGGGTCCTAGAGCGCAGGGCTCCAGCCCGAGCCTGGAAGCCTACCGAACAATGAAATAGACCCACAGCCCAAGCCAGAGTTCGCTGGCACAGGCCAGCTGCGGGTTTTTCTTTACTGTGTAGACACACCCTTAGATGAGAGACAAAGTTTTCTCAGTTCTAGGATAGCCTTAGAACCAGACATGGTACATTCCCCTGACCTGGGGCCAAACAGAGGCCAGGAACAAGAGGCTTCTGCTTCCCCACTTTAGAGGACTTCAAAACAGAGGCTCACTTTGCCGCAGAGGACTACATTCTTCAAGTGCGAATATGCAGGGCTACTCTGAAGAGGAATACTAGAGCATTTTCCCTAGTCATGTGGTCAATTTATGTATAGAATGAAAAAAAGACGTGCAGGATACAATAATGTCTCTCATAAACAGTGGTAACAAAAGGCAGTCATGGCAAAACAGAAGTAACAATGGCCTACTCTGTCCCTGCCCAGGAATGAGGGCCTGTCCTCAGGACAGATCAGAAAGTCTGTCTCATAAGGTCTCTGTCAAAGGAAATCCCAAAGTGTGCCAGTCCTTTTGGACCTGCGATGTAAAGGCGTGACATGGTAAAAAACAATACCATGAGGAAATGTGAATACAGCTCTGAAAAGGCAAAGTGGCATGAGGTATACCGTTCAAGCCCAATCTTTCTTTTTTAGGGTCCTTGGGGTTGGATTAGGTACAGTACCACGGAACTGAAACTTGAGACAGTCCAGAAATCTAACTACACAAAAGTATAGAAATGAAGTAAATGTTCTTTGTGAAACTACCCAAAACAGTCTTAACAACAGTAAAACTACTAATGCTATGAAAAACTATGACTAATAACAAAGGGAAGTCTGGTCAAAAAATCAAACCAAAATTCTATGCACAGAGCAAAGGTCTCCACATCTGCAGTTACCTGTGGAAAGAAAGGAATTGAGGGGGTTGGAGACTATACAGGTCAAATCCAAAATCTGGTGCTGCAGAGTACAGGCTTATGCAGGCCAACAGGCACTGCATTTCTAGAAAGTTCTTGAGGCTCACTTTGCATTCTTCAAATGGGAATATACAGGGCTACTTTGAAGAGAAACATAGACCATTTTCCCTAGTCTTGTGGTCAATTTATGTATAGAATGAAAAGAAGACGTGCAGGATACAATAATGTCTCTCCTAAACAGTGGTAACAAAAGGCAATCATGGTAAAACAGCAGTAACAAAATAAAGCTACTAACATAGGGCTGTACATCCTTTTTTGAGACTGCAAAACAAGTCTATTCCCCTTGCTGTCATCAGTCTGGGTATGCAAAGTCACAGGCTAAATACATACATTGCCTACATGTTCATTTTTTTTAAAATTCAGCAGTAAATGCTGAAAATAAGAAAACACCTTACACTGACTGGAGGGGCAGGGGAGGGAATAGCAACAAAACCGAAACAGAACACGGAAAAAAAAAAACATTACTCTCTAGAAACCAATCTGAAAAAGAGAAATCAATCCCTAATTAACAAAAACCAGAAAATATGACACTCAAAGATGAGAACAATACAAGAATTCCTCCCATCCCAACGGCAGACAATAAAAATACAGTTTAAAAAAATGTAAATTGGGGCAGGGAGGGACAATTAAAATAAAGAGAGACAACGAAACAATGCAAAGGGGAAATGCAACTAAATTAATTACTTAACACGCACTACCACCACCACAATACCTCCACACAGACACAGACACAGACACAGACACAGACAGATTAGAAAAATTCTAAATGCACCACCTAAAAATAAAAATAAAAAAATAAAAGCACACCAAACAGCCAGTCAGAAATGGAGAGGTTGGAATTGACTGATAGGCAAAGGACTCAGGTAGTGGGAGCTAAATATTAGGAGCGGGAGCTAAAGAAGGAATTACATGTCTGGCTCTTTATTTTGACTTCACAAGCTGTGCTACATAGTGCATGGATGTGTCTGAAGAACTGCACGGGGCTGACAAGCATCAAGCACAGACTCCTTTGAAAAACATGATGATTAAAACATCTACAATGCATATACTGAGAATATCATAACACATTACAGGTGTGAGGGAATTATATCTTGGCATTAATGTGAAGACCAAGGTGACAACAGTTAACAAATGTTAAATTCGCTCCATGGTCAGTTATTTCCCTCTCTAACAAAATACTAACATTGGGCTCTAATACCCTGACAAAATATTGCAACACACGTCAGAATACAGACAAAGATACCAATGCTACATCAGGATTCGTTAGCATGGACCCTGAGCTCAAACAGAATTCCATAGAAGATAATGGGACTGTGCCCAGGTACAAGGGTCTGCCTTAATGCAGAATCCCAGTGCAGAAACTGAGCTTTGGTAACTTAATATTGGCTCAACCAAAGTGTGGCAACACTTCAGTTTTACTCAGCTAAAAACTAAAGATAATGTTCAAATCCTATTGGAATGGAGTTATTATCTTTCATGGAGTGTACACAATATCAATTAAGTTTTCAAAGAATACTTCTTGTGTAATAAATGTTTTAATAACAATAATACAATTGACTGTGTGGAAAAATGATGATTATGTGATTGTTCATGCCACTTGACTTAGGGTTTTTTTAAAAATACATTTGTTTAGAAACACGCAAAAAAATTGTTGTGAAGAACAGCTAAGATTTATTCCCTCCCCCTTTTTAAGTGTCATTGTATTGCAATTATGCAAAAGGAGAGTGGAAAATCTATATTTCTGATGTATGTTTGAACACTTTGGCATAAAATGGTCCTCATGTTACTCACCTTGATCTCTTTCATGCCATGTCCGACTCCCAGCAGCTGGTGAATTTGGAGATGGGTAAAAGTCTCCGGTTGGACTTGGTTCCATATTTTCATCTATGGAGATAGTTTTGGGTCTCTTGCTGTTGAAATAATAAAGGTGTTGGTATTAAGACTTATGTGCAGTTAGCATTGGTACTGCAGAGGCTATAAGGATTTAAACAAATTTTTCAACACAGAGAGCGATTAAAGGAAAAACCATGAAAACAAATGTTAAGCCTGACCTGTAACATAGGTCACACAGGTGTGTTCTCAAACAATGATGTGTGCATTGTATATAAATATTTACATTATATAGTTGGCATGTGTGCATAATACACAAAAAAACCACTGTGGGGAGAATTTTCAATCTCTGCACGTTCTAAGTTTGGCGGCATTTAGGACCATGGCCAAATGTCCAAAACCTGCAACCTGCTGTAAAAGGGTCATGTCACTAAAATGTTAAATTCTCTGTATAATTAATTTCAGGCAAAGAAAAGCAATGGAGGAGTGTTTCTGCACCCAAGATAAGGTCAGCTAGGTAAGACTTCAATAGCTCAGAATATGCTAGTAGAAGGAAAGCTTACTTTACCCACCCCACCAGATCAGAGTACCAAGTTACTTTTCAAAGAGGCCTACCCTGAAACACAGTCTTTTCATTTTCGGTTAGTTTAATTTAAAATGAAAGGTCTGCATTTCAAACTCCATCATTCAAAGACATTCACTTCAATCTAGTAGGAGAAAGGCAAGTTTCTTCTTATCAACGCCTTCTGAAACTTCTCAGAATAAGCAAATTTCCAAAGGAAGATGGGGAACCAGGCATGAAGGTTTAACAATATTTAGACAATACTATGAAATAATTATTATGACAATACCATGAGGATGAATTTATACTTTTTAATTTAAAAGGTGAACTGTAAGGCTGAAAAGATAATGGAGTTAAACCCAGAAATGTACACTAAAACCCCACAATAACCAGACTGATACATTGTTAATAATAACAATGTTAGTAATTATTTCAAAATAGTAATAATTGTTAGTAATTATTTCAAAAACTTTGAAATGCCCCCCCCCACACACACACTTCCTGGTTCATTGATGATGCATAACTCTGTGGCACCACACATATGCAAGCCATGGTACCTGTGAAAATACAGGATGCATCATTACAGGGTAGCTTCAGCAAACCAAGATATTCCAGCAGGGAAAAGCAAAACGCATTAGTTTCCTGAAGCCAGAACAGGAGCCCAAGTTTCCTGGGCACAGCAGACTCTCCATTCATGCATTTCACTCCCTCTGTGATGCTCTCTGCCCCTCCTAAGACCATGTGAATGGTGCTTCACAGAGTCAGAATCCACAGACGTGGAGAGGAGTAGGCCAGAGCTGGCTGAGGCAGGGATTCAGTGGCCCCACTTATCATCCCTTGACTAGCCTTGTGGAAGTTTCCCAGGAAAGATAATACAACTCTTGCCTATATCACGTTCCACCAATTCCGCTTCTGTACTAGGGGACTCCCCCCAACTTAAGAGGAGGTTCTGGGGGAAGTCACAGCCAGAACCAGGCCCTGGATCCCCTCCAGAGCAGGGATCGGCAACCTTTGGCATGCGGCCCATCAGGGAAATCCGCTGGCAGGCCGGGACAGTTTGTTTACCTGCAGTGCCTGCAGGTTCGGCCCATCTGTGGGCTGCAGGAAGCGGCATGGACCGAGGGATGTGGCCATGTGCCAAAGGTTGCCATGTGCCAAAGGTTGCTGATCCCTGCTCTAGAGTCCTGTGAAGGGTGGGGACCTATCCCATGGCCTAGTCCACTGGAGACAATCCTTCCCCTGTCATAACAACCTGGGAAGAACTCCAAGAGGAAACCACTCAAATAGTTATAATTACCCTTTGTGGGCTCCTTCAGGAGATGGAGATCTGAGTTCTGGTGCTTCATGTCCCCACAATTAAATTTACATATAACGTGGCTGATGTTTCTTTTTTTTCCGCTTCCCTATTCTATGCCTGGCCCAGCACCTTCTCACCAGCCAGTGAAAGTTTTGGAGCAATCAGGTTTTCCTCACAGAATTGTCTTACATTGTTTTCTAAAACCTGGAGAAATCAGACTGGCAGATGAGGAGATCATTTATAATTTTACCAATAGGAGCAGCAAAAGGTGAGTCTTAGCATCCTTTTAAAAGGATGTAAAACGTAAGAAAAGGCAACAGTGTTAAATAAAAACAAAACTGTGCTCATCCACAGAGCTATAACTGTTCTGCCTGAGTCAGTCAGTAGTGTTAAATGCATCCTTTCTTCTTGCAAGTGTAAAATCTCTCTGTGTATAACTGAGCAGTTTTAGATGTTCTCTAATAGACCACTAGGATGTGGCTTCCTTTATTAGACTGCTAGAAAGTGGTTTCGAAAACTAGAGTGAAGTGGTATCATTTGTAATACTCTTCCCATTTACAGGAAGATATCCTTACACCATGAGTTTATTATCTACATATAACTTATAAAAATATACATACTCAAATTTATAAAAGCAGCAAGAGCTCATGCAATATCACACTTTCTTCACAATATTATTGTTTTCCCAACATCATGAACCCTGACTTCACGTAGCCAGATAACCAATATTTTTGCCAAACACTAATATTTACTCTTTTAAGAATATATTTACCTGATTGGTGGAGAGGACAGTGACCTCTGTAGATTTACACCCGAATTCATATCATGGTAGTATGGCTGGCTCGGAAGCTCTCCAATCGGGAAGTTCACTCCAGTTCCCTGGGTAATAGGCGCTGAAGAATACATTATTAAGAAGAGTCAAAACTAATCTCTATGTTTTTGATCATCCTTTCTATTTTAACATTTAAAAAATCTTGACATTATAAAATTTGTAACTAGTTTTCTGCCTATTGAAGAAATCAAGTACAGTTAAGTTCTGTTAATGTTTACATACCTTAAAAACAAATTAACTGCTCCCTCTGCCTCCTCCCCCCAAAATCTCTGAACATATATGCAGTTTTATTACTGTATATTATTGTTTTATCATAGATAATGTGGAAATCATGAATGGGAAAAAGTGAGAAAGACGGAGATACAAAACTGAGCATGTTGTAAAAGGGCGTGAACATCCCTGATTGCCTATTCATGCCAGAAATAGCCTTATATGGAGAGAGCATTGCACTGGTAAATTTGCTTTCTCATATGTTGCAGATATTGTTTTTGTGTACACACACATACACACACACACACACAGAGTTATCTTTACCTTTGTGTACTGTCTGTGCATTCAGCATTTTAACTTCAAAAATAATCGAATGTTGTATAACTTATCTGAAGGTTTGAATTTTTCTAACAATTACAGCATACTTTTGTTGTGGCTTGAGGTTAAACAAACACATGGGAAGAAGTCCCACAGAAACCACATACTTTTAAATTTATTATTAGAAGAGCATTATGAGGGCACTGAGAAGCAGACGATTTGGCAACAACATAATCTTGATTTTTTTTAGATATGACCAAATGATTAAAAGTGTGTGTATGTGAGTTGCTCAGACAACACACCTCATGAGCATGTGAAACCTGTATTTCACATATGCAAATCCCCAATTTTGGAAAGAACATTCAGTGTTGCACATGCATAACTTGGATGGGCATAAAAAGTGCGTGTGCCTTAATACACGGAGACTAAAGTGCACTCAGATACACATGTGTAACTCTTATTTAAATAACCATTGATGTCAGTGGGAGTTATGCACACAATTTGGCCTCAAAACTCAGTGCTAAGATAAATAACGAGCAGTTTTATTGAATATATTCCATGCACACGTTATATCACATCAGTCTTTTGGTGGGGTACTTAAACTGACTTCATACAAGTTAGTCTTGATTTACAGAGATGTGAGATCAGAATCAGGTCTTTAACTTTGTTGAACTCATTAAAACTCGCAGTGTGTACTGTCCTAGCATAAACTAGCGCTAGTGTAAAATTTGCAGCAGACAGTTTTGGGGAGGTTCCTGGAACATTCAACCATTGCAGTTTTAGTTATAAACTCCATATTCATCACTGTTGTTGTTTCTAAACAAGTTCTGAATTTGTATTTTTGTTCACTCCTTTCAAAAAGAAGTCTTAAACAAAAATAAATGAACAAAATTTACATTAAATACAAGAAGGGAGTATACCAAAACCAGGAGTAAATAAAAACAATATCTGGATTATAGATTATTCTTATACCATATTAAGATTTTCTATGAATTTGTATGTGTGTGACAGAGAGAGAGACTACCACGGTCTACATTCAATTAGTTATACTCCCTATTCTTGCTATGATGTAACTGTCCTTTAAGGTCATGAGATTGGAGCAAAGTAAAAGAAAAGAGACATCTGATGTAGCAGAATTCCAAAGATGTACAGAGGATAGAATGACAGGGAAAAGTTGCAAGTGCATGAAAGAACTTGTTTCATTATCTATGGTAATTTTATTGACATCACTTCATTGAGCCATGCACAGCAAATGGATTTAAGTTCTTAATAAGATGTTTGATTCAGAATTTGAAAAAACAAAGAAAGCCTTTTACTTGTTTTATTATAAATGTATGCAAGATGCACTGTGACATCATGCACAAGGTTAAAAACATTTTCTTCTTGTCTTAGGGCCCAAAGCAAACTCCATTACAGTCAATTGACTTCAGTGGACTATATATTAGGCTTTTTGCATGTGTTAAATACAATGTGTTAACTTACTTCTGGACACTCTCACAAGTTCTGACACATTGAAGACTCCAGATTTTACAAAACTATCCTCAAGGTACCCTGAAAAAGATCATAACACTGTTGTCAACTAACTTTCTTAGAAATACAAAAATATATACACCATTTAATAGCAGAATCAACAAAGAAAAGTCCAAAAATTAGACCAAAACATGATGACAACAGTTCACAGGATGGGATGAGAGTTGAAATCCAGACTGTTGTGTGCAAAATTTAGATTCCATACAAGACATTCCTCAATATATTGATGGAAATTAACAACCAATATATTGAAATTATAGTTAATCAACTGGGAAAAGTATATAGCAATATCCTTTCATTGTTCTTTTCTATTTGACTGACAGTCAAAATAAGAAGAGATTGGAACACTTTCTGTTGGATCAGGCAATTTGGTAATGAGAGATTAAACTATGCTGGGTAAGTTTCTGGTTTGGAATCTAGGCCAAGATGGCAGTGACTACAAATAACCATTTTAGGACCTGATTCTTCCCTTTTGAAGTCAATGTGAGTTTTGCTATTGACTCAAATGGGAGCAGGGCCTTTTAGATGTTCAGTGGCCAATGTGAAATCTGTTGGGTTTGTTAAGTATTTATCTAGAGGTCAAAACACAGATTTAAGAGCCCAACTTTAGGCACCCATTTTGAAAAAATTGGCTTCTATATATCTATTTATATTGAGAGAGAGAGAGATGATTCTCTCTCCCCACAACTGAAATGCAGTCACGCCAGGAAATGATGCAGTGAAACAACACCTAAAATCAAACTCAAATTAGCATCATCCTAGTGATGAAGCTACAAGATGTAGAATCAAGAAACCAAGGTTTTCTTTCGACGTCTTCTATCCAAGTACTAACCAGGCTCGCCCTGCTTAGGTTGAGATCACATGGGATCACAGCCTTTGGAGGTATAGATGCAACCCCTCACGCTTTTCGTTAGATTTACAGGGGGTCATAATCCACTTGTAACATGTATATAGCTTCTGTTAACATTATTAGGAGTTACGCCTGTGCAGAGAGAGGAGAATACCTTACATTTTACTCTGTACTGCTTAATATAGTCTACACAAAAGAATGTGTTCTCCATTTTCAATTAAAAATGCATTTTGCCCCAGATGTTTTTAAAATTTTACGTACATCATCATAATTCACATCCTGTATGGCACCATATAAAGCCAACAGCATATATAAGCAAGTGCTCCTAAAACAATTTTTCCCATTAGGTAATGTATTAGCAGCATGAACTGGTATTCCCTATGTTTACCATGGGTAATACCACTAACACAGTAAATACCTTACATAACAGTAAAAACTTAAAAAGGAACTTTTAAATGTATCCATTGCAGATCATAGTTGATGGCAATCAAATTATCTGGAATCTGTGTAATGTGGTAAGAGTTGACAATTTTCCTTTAATATATCTTTTAGGAACCCAGTACTTTCCACCTTCAGGTAAGTTAGCAATACATTAACAGCTGCTAAAGTCAGAAAAGTGATTGTAAAAGTGGCATACCTTACTCCCTGGGTGCATTCGGAATAATAGTGCTTATTTTTCTTTTAGGGTGGGGAAGCTTTTTTAACAGATTTAAAAATTTTATTAAGATGATGTTAAAAAAAATAGTGAACAGAGTTTGAGCATAGAAGTTTCTGGTTATCACGGAATAACATACAGATTATAGAGGGTGCAAAGTTTGGTTTAAGATAAGGTGGCATGAGGAATACATAATCTGCAATATCCCCGATTGGGGGTAAAAGGTTGATGGGTCAAAGTACATACATTGAGATATGAGGGTTCACTCCTGCTAGCAGTGGCTGAGTGGTTAACATGTTGACTACAATCCTAGCGGTTGTATGTTTGAATCTTCCTTGATTTCACACTGAAAAGCCACCTATAGTAAACCCAGTTAAAAAATAGGTACCTGATCCATCAGGTTAGGGCAGTCAAAGGTGGTCAGATTAGATGCTGGCCACATCATCCCCTTGTGTAATGCTGGCTATGAAATTGACATGCCTTAACCCACATAGACTGATGAGCCACTGGCGTGGGGGAACTTTGACTCCTGCTAGCTCTGAAAGCCAGCTGAAGTCTATTCTGGCTCACGTAAGGGCAACCGAATTGTTAACCAATGCATGTGTAAAGAGTGCACTTCACAGGGCAAGCTGAAAAGAGTTAACACATCCAACTGAGCTCAAACTGTATTATTGAGGCCTACCATCTTTGCTACACTATTTGTTACATCTACTAGCCAGGGTGAAAAACAGCAAATAGCCACACTTTAAAGGAAATGAATTTCAAATGGTAAAAGCTACATGGACTAATCAATCTCAAACTTCAGAACTGAAGATCCATTGTTAGTGAGTGCCATTGCAATACACAGCCTCGCAGCAAGCATGCCCTGACACTGTCATGATGTTTCAATCCTCAGGTTAAAACAATATATGTCACTGCATCTCTTTATTGCCATACGTGATGAAATAGCCCTGTAGCTCTTTCCTTCTCTCCAAGCTACTTTCTTCTACCCTCCCCGCTTTTTCTCTTTTGACAGCTTCTCTCTGTTTCTCTGCTCCTTCCCCGCTTCTCCCACTCCCCTGAATGCTAGAGGAAAAGTATTTTTGCCATTCTACTCATCACTACGGTCCTACCAAATTCACCGCCATGAAAAAACAGACCGTGAAATCTGGTCTCCCACTGTGAAATCTGGCCTTTTGTCTGCTTTTACCCTATACTATACAGATTTACATGGGGAGACCAGTGTTTCTTAAACTGGGGGTCCTGACCCAAAAAGGAATTGCAGGGGGGGTCGCAAGGTTATTTTAGGGCGGGTCACGGTATTACCACCCTTACTTCTACGCTGCTTTCAGAGCTGGGTGGCCGGAGAGCGGCAGCTGTTGGCCAGGCACCCAGCTCTGAAGGCAGCACCCACCAGCAGCAGTGCAGAAGTAAGGGTGACAACACCATACCATGCCACCCTTACTTCTGTGCTGCTGCCTTCAGAGCTGGGCTGCTGGAGAGCGATGGCTGTTGACTGAGGGTCCAGCTCTGCAGGCAGCAGTGCAGAAATAAGGGTGACAATACCATACCATGCCATCCTTACTTCTGTGCTGCTGCTGGTGGCAGCTCTGCCTTCAAAGCTGGGTTCCTGGCCAGCAACTGCTGCTCTCCAGCTGCCCAGCTCTGAAGGCAGCACCACTGTCAGCAGCAGTGCAGAAGTAAGGGTAAAGGTATTGCAACACCCCTCCAATAACCTTCCGACTCCTCCACAACTTCTTTTTGGTCAGGACCCCTACTAGTTCAACACCGTGAAATTTCAGATTTAAATAGCTGAAATAATGAAATGTATTATTTTTAAAATCCTATGACTGTGAAATTGACCAAAATGGACCGTGAATTTGGTAGGGCGCTACTCATCACTGATTGCTTATAAGAGGAGGCATTCTCTCTTTCATCTTCTACCCTCCTCCTACCCCCTTTGGTTTCTGTTGGAAGGAAAGGAGGGAGTATCCTGTCAAATCTTTATTTCCCTCTGTGACAGGGAGTAAATAATTTCCTTTCTTTCCCCACTTTCCTTTTTAATATTACAATGGGCAACTTGGACAAAGGGTACACAAATTGTTCCAGCATTTGCCATCTTTCCCTCCCCGGCCTCTCTTTCCTCTTCCTGCTTCCTTTCTCCTTAGAAAGAAAGTGTCAAGTGAATTGAGGAAGAGAAAGAAGGTCTAACAAAAGTAAGAGAAACATCCTTTGTTTGTTTCTCCCTAAACAGAAAGTTGATTGGCAACACGCTAAAATCAAGTTCAGAAAACAGTAGACAATCTTTTTATCCCTAAAAGGGCAAGACTGCAGTCCAGCCCTACACAGTTGGTCAGGAGTATAAGGGGAAGTACACACTCTCCCACTCCCTGCCCAGCCTCCCCACATCTCAGGTGCAGGCACAGAGGGACAGAAAGGAGTGTTGCCAAAATTTGTATTTCCACTGTAATATGATTTTGGACTTCTTGCAATGATGTGACAAGCTTTAGTTATCATGCTATCAAGGCAAGAGATCATGAATTCTGGGTCCCAGATCTTCCACTGACTCATATTAATATTTTTCTTCCCTTCACAGCCTTTATTATGAGCCAATGTCTCATACTGGAACGTAGGGGTGTGACTATTACTCACTCATAAAATGCAAAAGATCATTTCAGGCACAGCTGGAGAAAAAACCCAACTCTCATCCACTTTGCCACAGTCTTTCAAAAGGAACGTGGCAACTTAGATTTGCTTCTGTAACCCACAGTAACATAGTGTGACTTTGTCTCACGTTTCAGCAGTTCAACCATATGAGGTTTATGACTCTGCTAATGCTCTGCTAATGACTTGTCTTCACTGCAGTGTAGATGAAGGTACAACTCAAGTTTTATCCCTAACCTGACTCCTGGGCACACACAAAAATCTCTAGCTCAAGTGGTGCTTTAAATTCAAGCCCAAGCGGCCTGTCACGAGGTGTAGGTTGAAGTCTGAGTGCTGCTGACACTCAAGCTAGGAACACAACAAGCTACTCTCTGCCGCTAATCCAAACATTCTGTGCGGCTGAGGAGCTGTTTTGCAGTGTGGCTGCTCTCACTCAAGCAAGGTTAACTTGAGAGGAGTTAACTTGACCGAACACTGCATTAAAGACAAACCCCAAGGCAGCTGGTTCTTTAGCTGCCACATCACAAACTCACTACCATGCTTTGCACTACATTTTAAGCAACATGCACTGAGCAGAGAGTGGGTGAAGAGAGAGCAAGGAATAGGCAGGCTTGACGCCACACATCCCAATACACTGACTCAGCACGAAGGGAAGGTGGAAGGGAGTAATCTGCTACGGGTAAGGGGCAATAGCAGATTACTTTCCTCTGCAAGTGAGTCAGGAGCAGAGAAGAAACTGTGACTCAGTGGCACAGAGACTCACCACCCTTTACAGAGCATTGTCCATAAAGGCACAAATCAAGCCCCTGTATTGCAAAGTGACAACCCAGCTATCTTCCACCCTGGCTAGTAAGCTTAAACCCTCAGCAAGTT